AAAACCACCTTAAACTTCATATGGAACCAAAAGAGAGCCTGCATAGCCAAGACAATCCTAAGCAAAAAGAACAAAGCTGGAGGCATCATGCTGCCTGACTTTAAACTATACTACAAGCTACAGTGATCAAAACAGCATGGTACCGGTACCAAAACAGAGATATAGACCAATGGAACAGAATAGAGGCCTCAGAGGCAGCGCCACACATCTACAACCATCTGATATTTGACAAATCTGACAAAAACGAGCAATGGGGAAAGGATTCCCTGTTTAATAAATGGTGTTGGGAAAACTGGCTAGCCGTGTGCAGAAAGCAGAAACTGGACCCCTTCCGACACCTTACAGTAAAATTAACTCCAGATAGATTAAAGACTTAAACATAAGACCTAACACCATAAAATCCCTAGAAGAAAGCCTAGGCAAAACCATTCAGGACATAGGCATAGGCAAGGACTTCATGACTAAAACACCAAAAGCATTGGCAACAAAAGCCAAAATAGATAAATGGGACCTAATTCAACTCCAGAGCTTCTGCAAAGCAAAAGAAACAATCATTAGAGTGAATCGGCAACCAACAGAATGGGAAAAATTTTTTACAATCTACCCATCTGACAAAGGGCTAATATCCAGAATCTACAAAGAACTAAAACAGTTTACAAGAAAAAAACAAACAAACCCATTCAAAAGTGGGCGAAGGACATGAACAGACACTTTTCAAAAGAAGACATTTATTAATGGCTTAGCCCTCTAGACTGTGAGCTCCTGGGCAGGGACCAGGTTGTATTGACTTTGTTTTCCAAGTGTCCTGCCTAGGGCCTGGCACATAGTAAGTGCTCAATAAATGTTTCTCAAGTGCCCTCTGGAAAAAAAAAAGACATTTATGAGGCCAGCAAACATATGAAAAAATGCTCATCATCACTGGTCATTAGAGAAATGCAAATCAAAACCACATTGAGATACCATCTCACTCCAGTTAGAATGGCAATCATTAAAAAATCTGGAGACAACAGATGCTGGAGAGGATGTAAAGAAATAGGAACACTTTTACACTGTTGGTGAAAGTGTAAATTAGTTCAACCATTGTGGAAGACAGTGTGGTGATTCCTCAAGGCCCTAGAAATAGAAATTCCATTTGACTTAGCAATCCCATTACTGGGTATATATCCAAAGGATTATAAATCATTCTGTTATAAAGACACATGCACACATATGTCCATTGTGGCACTGTTTATAATAGCAAAGACCTGGAACCAACCCAAATGCCCATCAATGATAGACTGGACAAGGAAAATGCACATATACACCATGGAATACTATGCAGCCATAAAAAACCATGAGTTGATGTCCTTTGTAGGGACATGGATGAATCTGGAAACCATCATTCTCAGTAAACTAGCACAAGTACAGAAAATCAAACACCACATATTCTCACTCATAGGTGGGTGTTGAACAATGAGAACACATGGACACAGGGAGGGGAGCATCACACACAGGAATCTGTTGTGGGGGACTAGGAGAGGGACAGTGGGGGTTAGGGAGGTTGGGGAGGGAAAACATGGGGAGAAATGTCAGGTATAGGTGATGGGAGGATGGAGGCAGCAAACCACATTGCCGTGTAAGTACCTATGCAACAATCCTGCATGCCTGCACATGTACCCCAGAACCTAAAGTGCAATAATATATATATATATATATATATATATATATATATATATATAAAATAAAATAAATAATTATGCTAGGTCTATATACTATAAAGTGCAAAATATTCCCGAGGGTCACAAAAAAACACAAACTAATGGAAAGATAACTTATATCATAATTTTACACGTTCTTGCCAAGTTACTTATCAATTTAATTCGATTCCATAAAAGTATTCACAAGACTTGTTTTTGGTATACAATCAAGCTTATACTAAGTTCATATAGAATAACAAACAAGCAAGAAGTCAGGAAATTTTAGAAAAAGGAAATAAATAATGGAATACTCTTCCTGCCATATAGTAAAATACCTAAAGTAAAAAATATATAAATACATAAAATTAAATATTTAAAACAGTGTGATACTGATACATAACAGACAACTAAATGGAATATAATAGATGGTGTGGAATTAAGTCCATGTTCAGGAATTTTATATATGATAAATATGCCATCTCACATAAGAGGAAAAGAGAAGTTATTTACTAATTTTTTAGGATAGCCAGGAAAACATCTAAAAAGTAAGAAGGATCTATAGCTCACATTTTATACTAGGATAATTTCTTGATGTAAATACTTAAATGTAAAAATATTGAGAACAATCAAACAAAAAGACTAGAAGAAACTGTAAGAAAATTCTTCTACAAACTTAGAAGACGCTCTTTCTAATTACTATAAAACCCAGAAGCCATACTATAAAATTGTTTCTCACTACTATATAAAGGTAGACATTTTATATAAGAAAGTCATTGTAAATAAAGTCAAGCACAAACAAGAAATTGGTAAAAAAAAATGCTTGTAATTTGTAGCATTACAAAAAATGGCTAAATTTCCTTTTTACTAAAGAATCCCTCCACATGATTAAGAAAAACTCAACAAACCAATAGAAAACTGGACAAAGGACAGAATCAGCTGGTCACAGAAAAGGAGATGGAAATGGCTCTTCAACATATAAAAAGATGTTCAATCACCTTATTAAACAACAGATGAAATCTAAACCACTTCAAAATCTATGTTTCACCATCAGATCGGTAACACGGTAGTTAGTGCAAATGTAGAAATCGAGTTCTCATACTTTGCTGCTGGGAATGTGAACCAATACACTGTGCTGAAGGACAAGTTGGCAATATCTATCAAAGTTCCCAATTCACATATCCTTTGCTCCAGCATTTCCACTTCTAAGAATTTATCCTCCAAATAAATTAATGCATATGCTTAATGGCCTAAGTTCTCAGTTGATTATTGTAGCACTGTTTGCAATAGCTAAAGATTGGAAATAACTTAAACTTTGCATCATAGGGGGCTGGCTACATCAATGATATTACATCCACACAGTGGGATACTGTACAACTGTAAAACAAAGAAGAAAGTGCTTTATATACTAATATGGAATAAGTTCCAAAATAAAATGAAAAGTTCAAAAAGAGTGCACATAGCACGCTGCCATGCTATCACTTGCGTTAAAAAAAGAAAGAATATGTAAATCTGCTCTTACACGCATAAATTCTGTCTGCAGGAATGCCTGAGAAACTGATGACCATATCTATCACTAGGATAGAACCTGGATTGCTCAAGGACAAAGAAGGGAAAGAGAACTTTTTATTTTGTGCCTTTTGTACCCTTTGATTCTGAACCATGCAAATGTATTATCAAAAACGCACAACACATTAAATTTTATGATGTGTGACATAAGAGTGTATTGCCACACATCATAAAATTTAATGTATTATGCATTGTTAATAGTTTATTAAATTATTTAATTTATTAAACTAAAGTTTAATAGTTATTAATTTGTTATGCATGTTTAAGAGTTATATTTCAAGCTGTCCATGCTTATCCTGAACCTGGCTGAAAATAAAGTCTCTTGTTAATCTAAATAGCTATTTGATTAAGGTACCACTGAAGACAAATAATATATTACCTGAAAACTAATGTTCCAAAATAAAAGTTAGATAAGAAAATAAAAAGGCTTTTTTTTTTTTGAAAAAAGCAAAACAAAGTTGTTCAACAATAGAGATGGTAGGATCAGACTTTGTTTAAAGCAGCCGAACAAGCATCAACAAGAAAAAAGAGCTCCTGTGAATGTTTAGCTAAACTGTCTCTAAGGGAATAGACAAAAAGTTTGGCAAGGAGAGGGGATGAGCTAATACATTTTACTTTTTATTAGATATTTCCATATTGTTGGATTACTCCGATTATTTGATTTATTAATTTTAGAATTTAAAAAATTTAATCAGATTTAAATTATTTAAAAAGCCTGCATTTCCATTGGTAAGCAAATATGCCTAGGTGTTTAGGCTAGGAGTTTAAAGGAAAAAACATTATATGCATAAAGATGTTCATTCGACACCATATTAAACATAAGTATATGCATATATAACATATATACAAATGTAAGTTAAACAATAAGACAATAGTTCATTAAATAACATATCCACCAGACAATATTCAATTAAATTACATTTATGTATACTACATGGTAACTGGCATGATATCTATGACATAATGTTGTTTATAAATGACACAAAATTTTTGGCTAGGCATGATGGCTCACATATGTAATCCCAACATTTTGGGAGGTTAAGGTGAGAGGATTGCTTCAAGCCAAGAGTTTGAGACCAGCCTGGGCAATATATTGAGACTTCATCTCCACAAAAATTAAAAAGTTAGCTAGGCACTTCAGTCCAGAAGTTTGAGGCTGCAATGAGCCATGATCACGCCACTGCCCTCCAGCTTGTGAGACAGAGCAACCCTGTCTCTTAGAAAAAAAAAAAAGAGTCTGGGCATGATGGCTCAGGCCTGTAATCCAAACACTTTGGGAGGCCACTGCGGGTGGATCACCTGAGGCTAGGAGTTCAACACCAGGCTGGCCAACATAGTGAAACATCATCTCCATTAAAAATACAAAAATTAATTGGGTGTGGTGACACACACCTGTAATCCCAGCTAACTGGGAGGCTGAGGCACGAGAATCACTTGAATCTGGGAGACAGTGGTTGCAGCAAGCTCAGATCATGCCACTATACTCCAGCCTGGGTGGCAGAGTGAGACTCTGTCTCAAAAAAAAAAAAAAAGTGGTGGTACAGTTATAGTTGATTGGTCTCTTTTCAACACTTTCTATAATTTCAAAACTAATTTTTTCATATTTTTTTCAAATTTTTCAACTTTAAGCTTAGTTTTCCTACTTTTGTTAGAATTTGAGAAGCAAAACAAAGCAAAAGATGCCTTCTTATTGATGCAATGAAGATAACTAACTGCCCAGCATGAAGTGCAGATGTTTATCCAGCCAGAAGCACTTACCTGCACCTCCAGCTGAAGGAGAAGGAGGAGGAGAAGGAGGAGGGGCTGCCTGGCACAGGGAGGTGCTTTTGAAAGGCTGCAGCAGCTTCTCCAGGGCCTGTGCACTGTCTTCAGACGGTACCTTCCTCTTGGGGCTGCTGAAGAGGTCCCTGATATCCTTCCTTTGTCTGGATTCCTGGAGGAAACTCTCAAAGGATTTGTCTTTGAGTCTGAGGGAGGAAAAAAGTGAGATTCTTTTCTTTGGAGGCCTAGAAGCATCTGGGAAGGTCTCTTGCAAACTCACTTTCTCAAGGAGTGTAGGGACATCTTCAATCTTGCTGCACGGTGGGGACATGAGAGCAGGAAAGATCTTGGATGGCCGATTGGGCAAACTATGGGTGCGGAGGGCAGAGCCAGGAGGGCTAACGGCTGAGGACTGGTTTCTCCCAGGGGAATGCTGGTCCCTGTCTTTATTGGAATTGGTTTTCCGAAGGCTGAATGAGCGAGTGCAGGTGGGTGTGGGCAAAGTTTTGAATTCTGGCTTGGCCCAGGCCCTCTTCCCACCTTCAGAGTTGGGAAGGAGGGGCTCTAGGGACCTCCGGATGGCATTGGCTATAAGCCGGAGTGGGGACCTAGGTGGAGGCACGCTTCGCTCCCCTCGAGCTTGTTCCACGGGGGTCCCTGTCTCCTCCTGAGCCCCTCTCTGGGTTGGCAGAGGTTCTCTTGTCACCCCAGGGAGCAGCAAGGGGCGAACTGGCTTCAGCACCCGGGCTCCTCTACCATTCTCAGTACTCTTCTGGGAAAGTCGCTCCCCAGCTTTGAGGTGCACTCTCTCAGGGATGGAGTCATTCCAATCCAGCAACATGGTCTTCTGCTCCTGAGTGAGGACTAACTTCTTTAGGCCTGGCTTCTCCTTTGCCAGCACTGGCCCTCTCTCCTCTTCCTTCCTGGTTCCAGTACTCCCTTTTTCCTGGTCTTCTCCAGCCAAGGGAGACAGCTCTTGGCCTGGCAAGCACCTGTCCTTCCCCCAGATGGGGTGTGGGTCTCTGTGCTTGCTTCTGATGTCCCCAAGAGGGGCCTCTGCTGGCTGGCACTCATCAGAAATCATCTCTGCAGGGCCTGAGATGCCATCTTCACCAGGGTTCCCCAGGCAGTACTCTGCCCACTCTGGCTCTGGGTGATGAGGCAGATACAGGGGAATTTCCCTGGGTGCTCCTTGGGCTATGGCTCGCCTCCAAAAGGTTGGAGTGGGAGGACTTGGATGACCTCTTGAGACCTGTGAGAGGGGCTCAGAAGCTGTCAGCTAGAGGGGATGGACAAAAATAGCAGTTACTTAAGTTTTCCACCATTTATTTATATGATGAAAGCAAATCTCAATCCACAACCCCCTCCCTTTTATTCTTTCCATCTCAGATGCTCAAATTCAAAAATAATTTTGCCTTAGATGATTTCAAAGGGATACTCTTTGTTCTAAGTAGCTGCCTTGCATCCTGCCAGGATCTGCCTGGAACCCCTGAATCAGCATTGTTGAAAGGCTTTTCTGAATCCCAGGTTAGCTAGGATTCAGGAAGCCAGAGGGGAAGACAAAGGTAGGGCCCTGCTGTTGACAAGCTCCTGGGCCCATGAGGGCAGGGCTGGCTGGGCCTCTGTGGGTAACCAGGCACATAGGGAAAGACAAGCTCCTCCTTTTCTTGCTCAGCCATCGTCTCTACTAAAGGGCATGTTCCACACATGGGTATGTGCCTCCAGCCACCAAGAAACCAAGGCTTCTTCCTTGGAGGCCATCAAAGTAAGAAGCAACAGTCACCCTCTGGGCTGAAGCTGTGGTGGCACAAGGATGGCCCTTAATACCTTCCCATGACCCTTTCTAACCTCCCTCCTTGCACCATTGAGAAAGTAGCTATTTCTAGAATGCAGGAACTTAGCCCTTGGCAAAGAGAGAATGTGAGTAGATTCTAGGGGTGGCTGTGGCCTCCCCAGAGCTCTGGTGCCTGAGGGGCAGGTCATAGCACCGGGGCTTCACCAGAGCACACATCTTTTCTGTCTTGTGCACTCTACTTTCAGAGCCTAGAACAAGCCTGACAGGTAACAAAGGCTTGATAAATACACACAGAAGGAAAGAGTCCAGCCTGCCTATCAATGATGACATTTTATATCCAAGGGAGGTGTTGCTTCTAAGGTTCTTGGACGCTACCAAAGGGACCCTCCCTTCTGTGTCTGCCATCCTACAGCTGCAAATTCCTCAATGCCCTCTGCAAGTGCTCAAGGGAAAGGTGTCCTGGCAGCTCTGCATCCTATGGAGACATGGCATGGAGTCTAAACCCTGTAAAGTTTGCTGAGAAAGTAACTGCGTCCTCAGAATGGCTGTGAAGGAGCAGCAGGAGCTTCTGTGAAAGGTACATGTGAGGACGGCTGGCGTAGACCCTTGACAGTGTGTCTTCTGTCCCTGGCTTTGCACTTAGGCTGACCTATGAGTACGTGGAATCCAGAGATAAGTGTGGAAGGTGGGAGGAGTACCTGTAGCTCAGCTTCCCGACAGCTGGGCAGGACCCTCAGGGACACTCACCTGGGGCAGGGAGGAACCATCCCCTGAAACACTGGTTGCAGAAGATGGTGGGGAAGATGAACGAGAAGACAATGAAGGAAGAGGAGGAGAAGGAGAAAGGTCCTTTGGAGGTGACATAGTTCTTTTGTTCACTGGCATCAAACCTACCAAGGAAAAAACACACTCTTCATTACAAAGTGTTATTATTTTATCAAGAAAAGAGGAGACTTTAAGTGAAGCTCCAATTCTATAAACAGAAAGAGGAAGATGTCAGAGCCTGACTCAGAGGTTCCTGGTGCCGAGGCTTGGGACTCAGAGGAATGGGGAGGGCAGTGGCAGGGTCCCATGGGTCAAAGGAAGTCCCAGGGTGGGAAGTCTAAGCATCATTGTGTTTCAGACTCATGCGAGGATGCTCTTGAGAGATGTATCAGGGCACCTCCAAAGCATTTCTTAGAAATACGCATCTGCCTCCAAAGAGCGTCCTAAAACCAACGTGGTTAGGAGCTGGGCTGTGTTAAATCACTCAGTCAATAAACCACCTGAGCTTTCCTCCCACAAGATGTTGCACCCTTCGCTGTGGGAACAGACAGGACAGACACCCACGACTAAGGAGATAGACTCTTCCTCCTCACATGTGTGCCAAGTGGCTCTCAGACAGGAAGAGTCGTTTAAGATTTTAAGAGAACACAAGGGCAGGAGGTTACAGTGAGTATCAAATCATTTGAGAGATATGGAGTGGGGCCCATGCCAAGTTCCTGTTGGTCAGGGAACAAATGGGTTACAGTGTAGCAGCTCAGAGACGCAGGGGAAAGGTGCGGGGCAGGGGCCTGAGGACAGGCCTGATTCTGCACTGTGGGGGGCTGAGATCATCTAGTCTGGTGAGAGCAGAATTCTGACAGTTGTACACTGTAAGATCAACGAAGCTCACATGCATACTCTCTTTCTCTCCCTCTCCCGTTCTTTTCCCTCTCTCCCCTTCCTCCTCTCAAACATGGTAATTTAAATCTAAAATCTCAAACATTTTGTCTCCATATTGGATCATTTCAGACCACTTGTCCTCAAATCATTTCTGTCAAATGCCATGCACCCTTTCAGATCTGCCCTCTCGGTACCCACCCTGAGCCCAACCAGTTCTCCCCAGAACCGTGGTGGCACGTAGGGAGGTCCCCCAGAAACTTCCCAGGACCACCACGTGGAAGGAGCCCACTCTCTTGTCTGACTCCCTGCTTCCGGCCGCTCAGCTGACCCATTCAAATTTTCCTCCAGGGTGTCTAGCCTTCAGATTTTCACCCGCTTCTTAGCGTAACACAAGCCCCTGGTCTCAGTTTCCCCAAAGCTTTGGGTGGTGAGCTCTTCCTCAGGGACCCACACAGGTCGGCCAAACCCATCCCACTGAGTCCCCTCCACACCGGGGGCCAAACTCTCCTGGATATCCTGTCCTGCCTTCCCCCACACACCAACGCGAACGTGTGCGACCGTGTGTCCCAGCCTGGGGCTCTGAACACATAGCACCACATGCCCACGCACAGTCAGCAAGCTCCCAGAGGGAGGCCTCGCAGAACGCTTGCGGGGGGTGGGGGAAGGTAATTCCGGGAACAGACATGATCTGAGGGCGGCAGGAAGGAGCTGCCGGGGAGGCGGCTGGCCAGCCTCCCGCTACCCCCATCGCAGCCCGGGATGAGAAGGTTCCAGCCTAAAAAGGCAAAAGTTGTGAGTCAGTCGTTGTCTTGCTTCCCATCCTCATCCTCAGCTTGCCAAATTCCTGCCAAATTCCTTCTTCCCTTCCTCCTTGCACCCTCCTTCTCCTCTCTCTGCTGTCTTCCAAATCAAACCCCTTCACTTGCCTCCTCTCCCATCAGCTCAACAGACTGCCTTTTTGTTCCCCTGAGGATCCCTCAGGGAACCTCCTGACAGGAAGCCAGGACCACCTCGGGAACCAAACCTGACAGAAACGCCTCAGGGTTCACGAGGTCATGACCCGGAAGCTGTTCCCTTCTTCTCCTCGCCCTCATCTCCACTCCCACCCCCACTAGGGAGTCCCTCTCTCCACATGTGGTCCTCACGCACTGCCTTCAAGATGGAACTCCAGCAGGGCTTGAGGAGACTGGGGAAGCAAAGCTCCAGCTAAAGCCAAGCCCCTGGTCCCTGAGCTGCCATTCAAGCCACTGCTTGGGAGTTGGGCACAGCCTGGGGAGGGAGGTAATGGGAAACCTCCCCGACCCGACGCCCACTGTGTCTTTGGGTTCTCTCAGAAGTTGGTGAAGGGGAGCCTGGAACTCCACCTCCTCACACACACACCAGCTGCCTGGCTCTGAACAAGTTAGTCAACCCCTCAGTCTCCTCATCCAAAAAGTGGGCAGTCTGGTGCAGCTTCATGGGGTGGCTGAGTGGGTAACATGGGCTAAAAAGAGATGCCCAGTTGGCCGGGCGCAGTGGCTCACACCTGTAATCGCAGCACTTTGGGAGGCTGAGGTGGGCCAATGACTTGAGTTCAGGAATTCAAGACCAGCCTGACAAACATGGCAAAACCCCGTTTTTGCCAAAATTACGAAAATTAGCCAGGTGTGGTAGTGCACGCCTGTGGTCCCAGCTACTTGAGAGGCTGAGGTGGGAGAATCTCTTGAACCTAGGAGTTGGAGGTTGCAGTGAGCCGAGATCACACCACTGCACTCCAGTCTGGGTGACAGAGTGAGACCCCATCTCAAGGAAAACTAAAATAAAAAATCAGAGGTGCCCAGTGGGGCAGGACACAAAGTAAAAGCTAGTTCTCGGCAAAATATGAACTCCATTAGCTTCCCATCCTCTCATGCACACAAGCCGTGTCCAGTGAAGACACCACGCCCTGGCCCACTCCAGAGGGGGCTGCACACTCTCCCCAGTCAGGATTTTTCTAACTCTTGGGCCGGGAGCTCCTCATTGGCTAACTCACATCCCCCACTGCTGGCCGTTTCCCTGAAACCTACACATGGCCCACAGGGGCTGCCCTGCCCTCTGCAGGGTCTCAGTCATGCATGCTGCTGGCCCTATGGCTGCTTTGCCTGAAGGAGGCCGAGGTTCAGCACCCAGACTGCCTCTGGGTCAGGCGCTGGCACAGCCTCCTGTCTGGGTCCTCTGGCAGCAGCAACCTTTCCCCTAGATCCTAGAGGTCATCTGCCAGCATGATCAGCTGGGGAGGGTGCCTAGGGCAGCCGCATAGCTCCTCTGGTCGTCCCACTGGGGCTTGGAGCCAGAACCAGCTGAGATGGGGCAGTCATGCCTCGACAGGAGGGATGGTACCACACATCCTGCTTCCAATGGCAAGGCCAGCCCTGCCTCCTGGGGTTTCCTTTTGGGTAAAATGAAGACAATCAAAAAGATGGCTCTGGTGGCTTTCAGCTCCAGGGATTTTCATGAGACTGGGACTCCAGGGTGCAGCTTCCCAGAGCTTGGAGGTTTTGCGAGGCTCAAATCCCTCTCAAAGTCTTGGAGCGTCCTCTAGGGGTGGCAGCCTGAGCAGGCCTGAGCCCACGTGCTCCCTTTGCACTCAGTCCAGCCAGCTTGCTCCTTGGCTCCTTCCTGCCTTCATTGATTCAGCAAACAAGGACTGGGCTCCTCCTCTGGGCCAGACCGTAATAGACACTAGGCTGATTGAAATGATCAAAACTCAAACACTCCCCTCAAACCAGCTTTCATATGACCTTGAGAAACACTGTGCAATACTCTTTGATAACTAAAGGCTGAGGTCCCCAGGTCCATCCCAGACACCGTGGGGCTGTTCAGCAGTCCTCTTGTTGTGGCGCCTCCCCCAGCAACCCAGCCCTACTGGGGAGCAGGGGTCTCCCAGCAGCCTCCCTGCTCTCACCCCAGGCTGAGAGCTCCTCGAGGAGGGACTGAGCCCCCACACCGGCAGCACACAGTAGGCTGGCAGCCTTGGGATGGACTCTGCACCCACACAGTCTGGGCTCGGGCAGCAGGGTTCCAGGGACTTGGGGAACACTGGAGCAGGGCAGTAAAGGTGATGACCCATGTGTGGCAATGTTAGCTCCTCTGCCTCTGCTGTCACTGCTTGGGGCTGTCAGAGGATTCAGGAGTCACTCTGGGCTGTCCCCAGATGAAGTGGCCTGCCCAAGAGTGCAGCCCTGGGTCCTGTTCCCAAGGTGTCCATGTCCCAGCCTGACCCAGTGGGAGGGTGGTGGGTCTGGGGATGGCGGGGGAATGACTCACTGGCTGGGAGTCCTGACTCAGAAGGAAAGAAGACCAGGGCTCAGTTCCAATTGCAGCAACATTTCTTGGTAGAAACCCCTGTCTAAGCCAAGGCCTTCCTGGGTCCTCCTCTCCTAGGGTGAGGCTGGAGAGGGAGTGTCAGGGTAGGTGGAAGGCAGCAATGAGCCTGGAATTGGATGAAGAATCTCTGGCCCTCGCTCAGGGCCTGGGGAGGGAACTCTGCTAAGTGTTGCAGCCCCTGGATCGCGGGCCTGCTGACGCAGTGAGCCTGTGTGGTCACTGCGCCCCCTGGTGGGGTCTGCTGCCTCGGCACCTGCTGCAGCCCAGCTATTCCCCAGGGTGCTGGGACCAAGGCTGGCTCAGAAAAAGGAGCTGGGGTGTGTAGGTGTAGGGGTGTGTGTGTGTGTGTGTGCGCACACATGTGTGTATTTGTAGAGGTGTGTGTGGATGTATGGGTGTGTGTATAGCATCCTGCTTTGTGTGAGGCTGTTAATCTGATGCTCTAGTCTCATCCCGGCATACAGAATCAAATCACAGAGTTTGTGAACCATGGCTCACTTATCTGTATTTTAAAAACTTAGAGGCAATGATGGCTAAGGCCCTATCTAGGTGAAACTGTACAATCCTAAAGCTCCAAAATTCCTGAGCCGGGGGTGGAGTGGGATGGGAAGATCTTGAGTCCTTTGGAAAAGCCTCCCTCTAGTCAGCAGTAGAAATAAAATCAACGTTATATTTTCTTTCTTGCCTCTGACAACCAGGAGGCCATGCCAGAGAGATACCATGTAACAAATGAGAACAGCTGCCCCTGAGAATTAACCAGAGATCTCTGCCCAGCCCCAGCCTCCCACCCCCAGAGAGCTGGTGACTCACTTGACCGGAATTCTCTCCTCCAGTTCTGGTATTTGCTTGGGGTTGGAGACTGGAAGCTATTGGCCCGTTGCAGAGCTGCTGTGGAAAAAGAAAGGGGCAGGGAAGATGGGGCCGGAGCAAGAGTCCATTAAAAGTGTAGAGTAGGTAGGAATTTATCTCCTATGGCTCATTTACCACAGGTTAATAGACTAATGATCGTAATTGACTGAACCCTCTCCTTCCCTCACACTGTGCTCCTACCCTCACAACACACACTACCAAACTTTTTATCTGTCCACACATCAAATATTTTTGTGTGTGTTTCCGTTTGTTTGTCACCCAGACTGGAGTGTAGTGGTGAGGGCCACGGCTCACTGCAGCCTCGACCTCTTGGGCTCAAATGATCCTCCTACCTCAGCCTCCCAAGTAACTGGAACTATAGGCACACACCACCACAAGCAGCTAATTTTTTAATTTTTATTTTTTGTAGAGATAGGGTCCCACTGTATTGCCCCGGCTAGTCTCAAACTCCTGGGCTCAACTGATCCTCACACCTCAACCCCACAAAGTGCTGGGATTACAGGCATGAGCTACCACGCCTGGCATCAAATATTTATTGAGACCCTGCTATGGGACAGGCACTGCCCTCAGAGAATGCCTCAGACTAGGAACTATCATCACTAAGATCATCAGTAAGCATCCACATGCATATATGCATACGTGTAGACATATTTACACACACATCTGTATAGACACACATGCATATATTCATTCATGTCAGAACAGTGGTTTAAAGCTGAGGCCTCACATCAAGGCTCCATATATGTAATACATAAAAACTGGAGCTGCTCTGATTGAAGCTAGGAAGCTGCAGGAAGTTCTACTCTCTGCCTCCTCTTTTCCCACAGAGCCCCCCAAACCCTCTAGAAACTAGGTTTAACTGAGGCTGTGGACCATGATTGCTGTGGCCCTCCCTTGGCCTGGTTCCAAGGGAAACATATTTCTGGGACACTGTACTTCCTGTGGAAGACCCTTCTGCCAGCGGGGCCTTGAGGATTAGCTGAGCAAAAGGAACATCACATGCAGAAGAAAAACAGGTCTTGGGCTCCTAGACCTGTGTGAGAGTGGGCAGTGGGGTCCACGTGTTCCCTGTTCTCAGGCAAGGCCTGCAGATGCATTCTCAGGCTCCAGGCCCCTGCGCCTCCATCACAGCTGGAGAGGAAGGATGGGGACAGTGAAGGTCTGAGTGTGCGCACAGGCAGGGCTAGGAAGCATGAATGGAAAGGAAGTCCAAGGGCATGATGTGGGGTGGGAGATGGAGGCAGCAATGGTCTGAGTCCAGGACTCTAAATCCAAGGCCTGGCTAGCCCAGCCCTCTGTCTGTCTTTCTGTCTAGGCACAGTCCTAGCTATTCCACTCCCTGCCCGGCCTCACAGTGGGGCTCCTTCTTAGCAGCCAGGCTGTGGAGCACAGGTGTCAACCACTACCCGGGGGCTTACTTTCCTCAAGACCAGATCCTTTATAGCTCCTCTACCTCCCTCACTCCACGTGTGAAACTGCCTTTGCAAAATTATAACTGAGAAAATTATGACAGTGAAAGAAATCTGACCTAACCGATCGATCTTGCTTCTAACCTCCAAGCTGCCTTTGTTCATTCCTGGGCGAAGGTGGAACTAACTTTGGGAGAAACTTAGTTTATAGTTTAGTTTGGAAATAAAGACGATAACAGCCCTCTCCCCAAACAAATCCCCTTCCTGCCTGGGAATGAGACTGCCTTTGCAGGACTAACAAATTCACCACAAGATTAGAAATTGTGGTTTAGGAGTCATGCAGCTGGAGGCTGTAAGATTCGGGACCTCCCCAAATTGCATCCTGGGGCTAACATCGCTATTGTAAAGCCTAAGAGCAGGGCTTGAGATATTTTGCAGACCCTGCACTCAGAGGATCAGCCGGCACCACCCAGACTGATAAACTGGCTCATCTGGTCTTTTAGCCCCACTCAGGAACTGACTCAGCACAAGAGGACAGCTGGGACTCTGTGATTTCATCTCTGACCTGACCAATCAGCATCCTCTATTTTCTGAACCCCCTACTCACCAAATTATCTTTAAAAACCCTGATGCCCAAGTTTTCAGAGAGACTGATTTAAATAATAATAAAACTGTGGTCTCTCATACAGTGACTATGTGTAAATTAAACTCTTTTTCTATTGCAATTCCCCTGTCTTGATAAATCAGATCAGTCTAGGCAGCAGGCAAGGAGAACCCACTGGGTGGTTACATTAGGAGATGCTTCATGCCTGCTCTGCCTGGCAGGTTCCCAATGCCACAGGCCTGCTCTTAAAATCAAGTCCATGGGTTTGAGGAGGAGCCTGTGTGGATGAGCACACAGCTACATCCTGCGGGCCAAAGCTAGCCTCTTAATCTCTTAATGAAAACATTTCTCAGAATAATAATTTTTAAAAACCTGCATAAAGCTCTCATTGCTTATTAGCTTGTAACTTGGTGGAATGGAACTTATTGGAAGTGGCTAAAATTCATGAGCGATTTTCCATCACTGGTGTTACTAGAGTACACATTTTTACCACAGTGGGAACAACAGGGTGGGTGGTAATGATTTCCTCTAGTAATGTTGAGCAGCATAGAGGGGGCTGATCCCTTCTTTTTAGCTTATATTCGATGTGAGTTTATTTATGTTAAAGGAGCACTTTCAGAGATCTTAGTGCCTGACCCACTGTAAAAGGAGTCAGAGGGTATTTTGCCATGTGGTGCTGATGATATCATTTTACTGTTACAAACTGATAAGTGTCCTCCATATGCCATTGGACCATCCTATTATCAAATTATGGCCAGAAAAAAAGATGGATGAATACCAGTTCCTCTAAGTCAGGATAATTTGGGGGCAGGTTGTTCTCCTAAATCTAACTGGTGTACAGCCAAGAGTCCAATGCACTAGATCAATTCATTTAGCTGCTTGGGCATGGATTTTACAATGAATTAATCTAGGCAGGCCTTCCACAAAGCTGCATTTCTGATTCCCAAAGTGTAGAACATGGCCTACTGTGTCAAAGCGCCTGGGGATGCTTGCACAAAATGCACGTACTTGGCCCCATGCCACACGCACTGCATCCGAATCTCTGAAAACCTGGGAATCTGCCTCTTAAACAAGATTGTCAAGAACCATTGACACCGATGTTTTGAGGCTTTCTGCAGCCTCCACAACATAGGGTATGAGCTTACTTCAGGCATCCTCTTGGGCATGCTCTATGAACTCTGAGGATGTAATAGGTTCCTTCATGTGCCAGGGTAGTCCCAGGAGTCTTTTTAAAAATTGTGGCAAAATATGCATAATATAAAAATTGTTACTTGTACATTTTTAAGTCTAGACTTCAGTGACACTGAGTACTCTGACCCTGGTATGCAGCCGTCACCACCTCCCCACCTCCCATCTTCAAAACCCTCTTCTCATCTCAACAAATGCTTGTTTTTTTAGGACTGGCTTAGTTCCCTCAGCATCATGCTTTGAAGGTTCATTTAAATTGTAGCGTGTGTCAGAGTCCTTTCCTTTTAAAGTCTGAATAACATTTTGCTGTATGGATATACTATGTTTTGTGTATCCGTTTGTCTGTCAGACATTGATTTGCTTCCCCGTTTTGGCCAACGTGAATAATGCTTCTACGAGCATGGCTGGACCAACCTGGAGTCTTTTTAACTCCACACTGAAACCAGGAGTCTTTTCAAAGCAATATACTGGTCTTGTCTGGCATCCCCTTGATTTACCTTGGAGGCCTTTATCCAGCTGACACTTGTGGTTAATGAAGCTCCATTAAACCCACTCAAGGGGTCAACTCTGCATTATCAGGTGAATTGATAGGGTTACCATAATGAGCAACACAAACACAGCACTTAGACCTGGGCCAGAGAGCTCAGCCACACATGTGGTCCACCTAGCAATGATCAAGACCACGACTGATGAAGACTAACTCGACAAAGAATTGTTTGAGAGCACACAGGTCTACCCACTTCTCTGTCTACTCTGTATTTTGTTCTGGAGTTAAACTGGACTGTCAGAAACAAAATGCTTTGGCCTCACTACCCAACCCAACCCAACTAGACTTTCAATCCAACCCTATCCTGCTAAGAAAACTGCGATCGCTGAGTCATGTTTTGTTGTCATTCCCTCACTTTCCAGCAAGGGATGCTGTAAGGAACAGCCTGGAGAAAACTAGGGCTGCATTTTCTGAGAAACTGTGAAGACACGATCTAACCCATTTCTCAATATCATCTATTCAGCACAAGCCGGAACTCTCTATAGAGTTAAGCATTAGGAGAAATTGTGCCTGCTCAGAGACCTGCTGCAAACCAATACACATTTTTCTCATGCATGATGAGAATAATGATATTCTGCGTTTCCTTTTTAACGCTAGAAGACAGAAAGCTCAGAAGCAAACTTACGATTCAACTAGAGCAACTGTTCAGGACTATGGTCTGCCTCTCTGAGGTCTATCCCTCCCAAACTGGTTTTGCTAGCCCTGATTTTGAGGTTTAATCTTTCATGTTTATAGAGGTACAATTTTGTTTTATGTTTCTCATAAGTTGCCTAAAACCTTCTGGCAATTGAATGGGAAATGGAGAGAAGGGATGAAAAATAGCCTGATTTCGTATCTGGAAATGGGGAGCTGGAGCCCAGGGGGATGGAAGGGTACACCGAGGCCACGTGGTAACTGGAGGCAGGGCTGGACCCAGCTGGGCACAGGAGAGTACTTGGTTCAGTGCCAGTGCTGAGACTTTCTGCACAGTCCCGCAAATGGTACTCAACAAATGTGTTTGGATAATAATGTGTCCTTCTTTTTAAAGTATCACTTTAAAAAGAAATATGAGGGCAAAATTCAACGTTTCCAGGATTTAAAAATACCTATCGAGTTCTTTCTGCCCCAGCCCTGGTCTTGGGAATCCATCACTCCTGGGAACATTTCATGGACCAGGTGGCAATTCTGCTCTTGGCCACCAGATGGCGGTGCAGGACAAGTTGAGCTCCAGCTCTCCCAGGGCAGCTAAGGCTGTGAGGCCAGTGGGCAGCAAGTTACTGTCAGGTTAGCCTGTTTCTTCCCAGGCTCGCCCAGAAGTTGCCCATAAGTCAGAAGATTTGGTCCCAAGTTGTTGACTGAATCAAAACACCCAATTCCAGGTCACCTTTGTATTAAACGCAAGCTGGGCTGCTAAGTAGGCCAGAGCTTGGGCGGTGGTGGCTGTGGGGTGTCACCAGCCCTGGCTAAGACTTTGACAGAGCACTCAGCCTGTTTGCTCACCTGTGGAACAGGCTTCACCCTACTTACCCACAGGGTCATCCTGGGATGGGATGGGGCCACGTATGGGAAAAGTCCTGGCCCATTACAGGTATGCAGTAAAAGTGCATTCATTGTTGTGTAGAATTGTTTGGGTCCATCCCACATGCCCCAAACACCAGAAATGGCCCCAGTGCTGTCAGACAGTCCCAAGGAGACGATGCCATCTAGGGTCACATGCTGCCAGACAGCAACCGGACCCAGCTCCCTTCCCTCAGGGGCTGTGGGTGCTGGAGGGGCCCCTAAGGAGATGTCCACACAGGAGGCAGGAGGGAGAGCGCTCCAGGCAAGAGGAAGCTGCGGGCCCCTTATCCCTGGCAGCCTGTGACATACCACAGCCTGCCAGGCCCCGAGACATCCTCCCCGCTGGGATTCCAAAGCTTTCATGGAGTGGGAAGCCAGGCCTGGGTCCAGTCCCCTCACTATCACTTGCCTCACTCTCCCCAAAGGTCCTAGCCCCACTGCCTTTGAGCCTGAGGGCGAGGCCTTCTGTCACCTGGACCTCCATGAGGGAAATTTGTCTGTGAGGGTCTCTGCTCCCTCCCCGCGTCCCAGAATCAAGCCCTGCGGGCTCTCTGCTCACCGTGCACAGCTTTGGGCTCCTCAGGGCACTGTGGAGAGACCGCCCTGCTCAGGGCCCTCCTCAGGGAGGCGTGCGGTAGAGACAAGGGTGCTGACCAGGGTTTCTCTTCACAGGGCTCTGGGCGGGAGGGCTCGCGGCCACCACAGTCAGACTCTGTGTCAGAGCTAGAAGGAGGAAGGAGCGGGTGGGTGAGTCGGGGCCCTGGAACCCACACTCTAAGACACCAACACTACCCAGCACTCCTCCAGTGCACCTGGGGGGCCTGGGCTTAGTCCTGTGTGCCCAGAGCCCAGCTGTGGACTTTGCTGTGGGTTGAATTGTTTCCTGAAAACTCATATGCTGAAGTCCTAACCCCAAGTACCTTCAGATGTGACTGCATCTAGAGGTAAGGCCTTGAAGGAGGTCATTACGGTACAGTGAGGTCATAGGTGGGCCCTTGTCCAGCACACCTGACATCTTTATAAGAGGAGGAAATGTGGACACAGACACACACAGAAGGAAAACACTATGCGAACAGGAAGACGTCATGGACAAGCTCAAGACGGAGGGTGGAACCCACCTTCCCTCAAGCCCTGCCCACACCTTGACCTCCGACTTCCAGCCTCCCAATCAGTGAGAAAATACATTTCTGTTGTTTAAACAGCCTGATCTGTGGAGCTTTGTTATGGCAGCCAGAGCTGAACAACACAGGCTTGGCTCAGAGCAAAAGAAAGGGGCCCAGCAGTGTGTGAGGAGCTGTTTGAATGAAGACTGCTCTGCTCATCTGCACCTGTCCGGGCATGAGCCCTAAGGTCTCTCTGGCCAGGTAAGCTCATCATTAGGGACTTGGTCCTGAAACTTCAGGCATTTAAATACTGCTCTCTTCCCCATGGAATGGATGAAAGAACGGAAAATTCTACCTGAGTAGGGGTAGGGGGTGGGTAGTATTTAACATGGGCCTTAAATAACTGGTAGGGATTCAATTATCTATAGGAAGATATTCTTACTCTGGAAGCAACTCATCAGAGCCCAGGGCTTTAATAGCCTCTAAAATCACCATCTCCGGCCCTGCCTCCCAGAACTTCACACTTACATATTTGACTGCTTACCTGACATCCACACAGACACCGGCATCTCAAACCCAATGCGTCCTAAACAGAACTCTTGATTTTCTCCACTAACCTGCACCTTCTCTGAAATCTTCCCCACCTCAAGATAACTTTAGAAATGACCATACCAGCCATTCAGTCACTCTAGAAAAATTCTGGGAATTGCCCTGAAATTCTCTTTCCCTCTCATGCAGTCCACTAGCAAATCCATCTCCACCGGCCCCACCTCCTGTCCCCAAGCTGCAGACTCCCACCTGCTCTTCCTGTGTATTCATCCTCACACAACCCTGCCTCATCCATTTCCCGAAGCAGGGCCTGCTGATCTGTGAAAACTGTAAATGAGATGTCACTCTTCTACTTAAAAATCCTTGGAATTACAGTCATGTCTTTCATAATGACGTTTTAGTCAGTGATATAACCCATATATGATGGTGGTCCCATCAGATTAAAATGGAGTGGAAAATTCCTATCACCTGTGACGTCACAGCCCTCGCTAACATCGTAGGGAAAGGCATCACTCACATGTTTGAGGTGATGCTGGTGTAAAACCTACAGCACTGCCCCCAGTTAAAAAGTAAAGAATAAATACATAAATTTAAAAATAGAAAAAAGCTTACAGAATAAGGATATAAAGAAAATATATTTTTCCAGCTATTCAATGTGTGTGTTTTTTGCTGTGTTATTACAATAGAGTTAAAAAGTTTAGAAAGTAACAAAGTTATAGTAAGTCAATTTATTATTGAAGAAAGAAAAATATTTTTCAAATGTGTAGGATATCCTAAGTGCACAGGGGGATAAAGTATACAGCAGTGTACAGTGACGTCCCGGCCTTCACATTCACTCACCACTTACCCACCCACCCAGAGCAACTTCTAGTCCTGTAAGCTGTATTCACAGTAAGTGCCCTATACAGGTGTGCCCTTTTTTAAATATATTATATTGTGTTTTTACCATACCTTTTCTATGTTTAGATACGTTTAGATTCACAAATACTAACCATTGTGTTACAATTGCTGATAGTATTCAGTACAGTAATGCACGGTACAGGTTTGTAGTCTGGGAGCAATAGGCCGCAGCATACAGCCTGGGTGTGGAGTGAGCTATCCCATCTAGGTTTGCGTAAGTACCCTCTATGATGTTCACATAATGGCAGAATCACCTCATAACACATTTCTTAGAACACATCTCAACTCTTAAGCAATGCATACCTGAATACCTAGAATACAGTTTATCCTGTCTTACAAGCCTGGCTCCTGCCTTCCTTCCTCGTGTACTCTCTTATCCTTCTCCCCCTCAGGGTGTACCTGCCGCGCAGATCTTCTCTACCTCTGAGACAGGCTCACTCTCACCCTGGGGCCTGTCACTCACTGTCGTCACTTCCTGCATTCCTCTTCTCCCTTGGGTGTTCCTTCTTATCAACCAATTCTCAGCTTAAATGTCACCTCCTGTCGGGCGCTGTGGCTCACATCTGTAATACCAGCACTTTGGAAGGCTGAGATGAGTGGATCATGAGGTCAGGAGTTCAACACCAGCCTGGCCAAGATGGTGAAACCCTGTCTCCACTAAAAATACAAAAATTAGCCAGGCGTGGTGGTGGGTGCCTATAATCCCAGCTACTTGGGAGGCTGAGGCAGATAATTGCTTGAACCCAGGAGGCGGAGGTTCCAGCAAGCTGAGATCGTGCCACCACACTCCAGGCTGGGTGGCAGAGCGAGACTCTGTCTCAAAAAAGTCACTTCCTCTGGGAGACTGTGGGAATTTGTCTGCAAAGGTGGTTGCAATCATTCCCCTTGGATCCACACCCCTTTGCAATGGGGGCTTTGCAGCTCTTTCCCTAAAGAGTGCAGGCTATTCCCCACCTTTTGAATCTGTTCAGGCCTTGTGACATGCTGTAGCCAATCAGGTGCAACAGGAATAGCACTGTGCATTGCCAAGCCTCGACCTCAGGAGATCTTGGATGGCTCCCCTCTTTCTCTTAAGGCCATGGGAATAAGCCTGGGCTGCTGGTTGGAGGATGAAAGACCCACGGCCCAATAGCCCTCTGTCACCCCAGCTGATGGTCAGGCTCCAAAGCAGAACCCTGCTGGCCCAAACACACAGGTGAGCCCAGGAAGGCCAGAACTGCCCAGCCGTGCCTGGCTTACTTGGTCAGGCTTGGCTTACTCTGGTCTGCTTTATTACACAATCATGGTGTAATGAAGGGTGGTTGGTTTAAGTCACTCACTTTGGGGCTGGTTTGTCACTCAGCATTATTGCCGGCATCAATAACTGCTGCAGAGGCCTTTTCCCGGCCTCAGTCTAAGGCAGCTGACCAGCCACTCCATACCAAGTGTCTGTTTTATCTCTCGACCTGACGCATATGTGATGCTTTTCTTGTTTAGCTACTCACTTGCTTCCTCGGTGGCTCCCAATGTTACGAAAGCCATGGGAAAGCAAGGAGCTTGTCTTGTGCTGTTCACTTCTGTATCCTCAGAGTCTAGTATGTAATAAGCAATCAATACCTCCTGTTGACATACCTCTTGAGTGAATTCAGTGCATCTGGGGGAGTCCTGGAGTCTGCATGTCTAATAACCACGCCAGGTGATTCTGATGCAGATGATGAGGACAGCGCTCTGAGAAATAGTCACCTACAGCACCAGGGCTTCACTCCTCATGTCCCCCACCCTGCCTCCTAGCCTGCCCAGCCCCATGCATCACCATCTTGCAGTGGGCAGGCCCTAGGGGCAGGTGACACCCATTCTGCAGCCCTCACTGCAGTCAGCATGACAACTGCCTCCTGAGAAGAGCATGGGTCCAGGCTCTTTCCCTTCCTGAGAAAATAACAATTGCTAACACTTACAGTGCTAATGATGTGTGGGCACTGTTCTATACACTTAATACATATGAATTCTGTGAATCTTACAACTCCCTCTGAGATGGGTACTATGATTGTCCGCATTTCACAGATGAGGAAATGGAGGCACAGAGAGGCCACACTGCAAGTGAGTAGAGAGAAGACCCAATCCCAAATGCTATTCCCTTCCTCCAACCCCAGTTCTGTCCCCATCTGGCAGTAGCCTAAGCATACCTGCTGTCCTCGCTGGTGACCAGGACACGCACAGCCAGCACATCCTGTCCAGCTGCATCCTCCCCAGGGCTGATCCTCACCGAGGTCCACTCGGAGGGCAGGGGAGAGGCGGTGTCTCCTTCCAAATCACTGTGCTGTGGCTCAGAGATGCTCTTCGGCTTCTTGGGGGAGGTGGGCTCATCTGCTGAGAGGAGAGCAGGGTCTAGAGAGATGGTGCGAATGAACGGCCTGGCAGGACCCCTCCAGGGGCTCAGAGCCCCTGCAGGTCTGGCGTCTATTCAGACCCTCCAAAGCTGGCCCTGTCCTCTGTGCCACTGCTGGGACCCTCACCCCCGAGCCCACCAGAAGCCCAGGCATTCAGGGCACGCCTCCTACATGCAAGGCATGAATGCACAGATCATCCCACTTAATCCACAGGGAAGGTCCTGAAATGCTCACAGGGCCCATTCTGGGCTAACCAGCCTCTGAGCTGCTGCTATCAAGATGGCAACGTCCAACATGTTGCTAAATCCAGTGGTAACATCACAGTTCTCATCTTATTTGACTATGTGACACAGCAGCAGCATTTGACCCAGCCGGTCACTCCCTCGTGGAAACAGCTCTCAGCCTCTAGGATGGCATGGCCTGCCCAGCCCCCCAGCCCCTACTTCACCGGCCAGCTCCTTCAATTCCTCTGCTGATTCCATCCTCTCCCCTTGACCTTGTAATACTGAGAGATGCCAGGGCTCAGTCTCTGAACCTCTTTTCTTCTCTGTCTGCACTCACGCTCCTGATGCTCCCATCTGGTCTCATGGCTTTAAATAACCCTAGACAACAATGACTCCCAGATCTCTATCTCCAGCCTGGACACTCCCGACTCTAGACTTATAAAGACCACTGCTCACTTGCCTCTCTATCCAGGTGTCTAACAGACATGTCAAACTCAACATGTCCGAAGGGAGTTCTTAATCCTCTCTCCTCACCCATTATGTCCTGCCCACAGCCTTCCCCCTTTCAGTAAATGGCAAATTTGTCTTCCTGGGACTGCAGCCAACACCTCACCAGCACGTTAGACTGCTCTTGTTCTTTCATTCTTCATTCAAGCCATTGGCAAATCCTGATGGGTCTGCCCTCAAAACATGTCAGGAATCCAGACCCCTCTCACCACCTTCCTACCCCTGGTCCGGGCACCATCGTTTGTTGCTTGGATCATAGAAATGGCCTCTGCCTGGCCTCCATCCCTGCCCTCTTGCTGTGCTGCACCCCTCAGTCTATTCTCAACACAGCAGCCAGGGTGACCCCATTAAAACCCAAGTGAGATCATGCCGCCCCTCTGCTCAAAATCCCCCAACGGCCCCTCATTCACTCAGAGTGGAAGCTGAAGCCCTTACCAAAGCCTGAAAGGTCCAACATAATATAGTCCCCAGTGCATCCTGTGACCTTGTCCCCTAGCACTGGCCCCAGGCTGGCCCTGTCCTACCCATGGCACCTCCTTGGTGCTCCTCCCATACTCTGGGCTCACGCCCTTCTCGGATCCCTTGTGCTGCTCTTGCTTCTGCCTGTAAGGTGTTATTCCCAGACGTTCCCCTGCAGGCCTCACTCACTCAGTGGCTGTCTTCAGGTCCTTGGTTGAACGTCACCTGCCCTGACCGTCCTATTTAAAATTGCAGCCCACGGCCTCAGTGCTCTCCACTCCCCATGATTTTTATTCACAGTGTTTCTCAGCCTCTGATGAACTATACAAGTTTCTTTTTCATTTTGTTTATTGTCTCTTCTATGACTAGAATGTAAGCAGTGATTTTTGTCTGTTTCATTTGTTGCTAGGGTGGTCCCTGGCGAAGGGTAGGCGTTCAGTGAGTGTCCACTGAATGAGTTCATGAATGAATGCACCCAGCTCTGTCTTGGCCACTAACTAGCTGGGTGACTGCATCTCCCGGGACAGTGTCCAGAGAAGAGATGCCACTTTTCCTTCCTAAGGCGGAGCCTTCACCTGAACTTGGCTCCCTCTCACTTCCGTCCTCCCTCTCTGCAGCATCATTCTTGTGTTCTCTTTTGACTACTGAACCTTTCCTGTCTGTATTTAAATAGGCTGAAAGCATCCTGTTTTACAAAAACTCCTTTTAATCCCAGTCCTCACTCCCAGCCCCAGCCTACTCTTTTTTCTTCTTTCCCAGCCAAGCTTCCTGGAAGGCTTGGCTACACTCTTCTCTCTCTCCTCTTCTTTATCAACCCCCATTCCTATAATCATGCTTGTGCCTCCCCAATTGTCCCCAGCACAGTCCGCAGTGGCCTCCTTGTTGCTAAGTCCAATTCACAGGACGTTGGGGATCCTCCTGCAGTCCTTGAGCCTGCCCCCTCCCTGCTCCAGGGGACATTTTCTCTCTGCCATCCAGGATTCCAGCCAATCCTTCAACAACTGGGTTCTCCACGCATCCACCCTCTCAATTTTTACCCATGAATTCTCTCTGGGAGGTAGAATCTCTTCCCTAACTGTATTTACCCCCTGTGAAGATGAACAAGACATTTTGATTTTTATGTGAAATACCTTGTCTTAAAATATCATATAGCTCAAAACAAAACATGTCTGCAGCAGACTGAGCAAGTGGGTTGCTAGTTTGTAGCCCCTGGTGTATGTAGATGCTTGCTGTGTACACGTGTCTGCACTTCTAAATGAGCGTAACTGGGGATGGAAGGCATTTGAGGAATATAATCAGATGCTTTGCTACATGATAATAATGACATGGCAACGGTGGTGGTGCTGGCAGCATTAGTCATAATAAAAGCAGTAGCAGCTCACTTTTATTGTGTGTGCAATATATACCAAGAATTTTTAGAGCATTTGATATGTATTAAATCTATTAAAGCTCACACGATCCTCTCAGAAAAGCATTGTTGTTACCCCTATTTTCCTGCGGAGAAAACTCAAGCACAGGAAGAGATCCAAAATGGCCGAATAGGAACAGCTCTGGATTGCAGTTCCCAGTGAAAACACAGAGGGTGAGTAATCACTGCATTTCCAGACAAATTTTTACTGCCCACAGACCAGGAGATTCCTGGGCGGAAAAGCACCACAAGTCGCCAGCATGGAAACAGCCGGCACAGTGGGTCTCCAGACAAAAACTCACACGAATCCGGGTGTCATTTCAACGGGTGACTGGAACGCCTAGGAGACAGAGTCACCTGTTTGACTGAAAAAAAGGGGACTGCAACAGGGAGCCAGGTGATCTGGCTTGGCCGGTCCCACCCACACAAAGACCAGCAATCTGAAATGCTCTGGATTGAGAGTTTCACAGCAAGCATAGCTGGACCAGGGACGGTCCAGCTCTGTAGGGAGAAGGGCATCTGACATTACCAAGGCAGTCCACCAATACAGAGGCAGTCCGCCATTACTGAGACAGTCCACCACTACAGAGGCAGTCCGCCACTACCGAGGCAGTCCGCCATTACTGAGGCGGACCACCATAAAACCCTAGAAGAAAACCTAGGCAAAACCATTCAGGACATAGGCATAGGCAAGGACTTCATGACTAAAACACCAAAAGCATTGGCAATAAAAGCCAAAATAGACAAATGGGACCTAATTCAACTTCAGAGCTTCTGCAAAGCAAAAGAAACAATCATTGGAGTGAACCGGCAACCAACAGAATGGAAAAAATTTTTGCAATCTACCTATCTGACAAAGGGCTAATATCCAGAATCTACAAAGAACTAAAACAGATTTACAAGAAAACAAACAAACAAACAAACAAACCCATTCAAAAGTGGGCGAAGGATATGAACAGACACTTCTGAAAAGAAGACATACATGAGGCCAACAAACATATGAAAAAATGCTCATCATCACTGGTCATTAGAGAAATGCAAATCAAAACCACATTGAGATACCATCTCATGCCAGTTAGAATGGTGATGATTAAAAAATCTGGAGACAACAGATGCTGGAGAGGATGTGGAGAAATAGGAACACTTTTACACTGCTGGAGGGAGTGTGTAAATTAGTTCAACCATTGTGGAAGACAGTGTGGTGATTCCTCAAGGACCTAGAAATAGAAATTCCATTTGACTTAGCAATCCCATTACTGGGTATATATCCAAAGGATTATAAATCATTCTATTATAAGGACACATGCACATGAATGTTCATTGCAGCACTGTTTACAATAGCAAAGACCTGGAACCAACCCAAATGCCCATCGATGATAGACTGGACAGGGAAAATGTGGCACATATATACCATGGAATACTATGCAGCCATAAAAAATAATGAGTTCGTGTTCTTTGTAGGGACATGGAGGAAGCGGGAAACCATCATTCTCAGCAAACTGACACAAGAACAGAAAATCAAACACTGCATGTTCTCACTCATAGGTGGATGTTGCACAATGAGAACACATGGACACAGGGAGGGGAGCACTACACACTGAGGTCTGTTGGGGGGACTAAGGGGAGGAACTGCAGGGGGTGGGTGGGGAGTTGGGGAGGCATAACATGGGGAGAAATGCCAGATATAGGTGATGGGGATGAAGGCAGCACACCACATTGCCATGTATGTACCTATGCAACAATCCTGCATGTTCTTCACATGTACCACAAAACCTAAAATGTAATTATATATATATATAAAAAGAAAAAGAAAACTCAAGCACAAAGAGGTTAAAACACCAGCACATGGTCATCTATTCTGTCAGAGGACGGGGGTCAGTCTGCGTGTCTGTGAACACAGAACCACGCATGGACACTGTTTTGCATGACCTCTGTGCTAGGAGTTTTGGCTGGAAAGCGCTCCTGGTTCTTCCCTGTAACAGAGTTGTGCTTTGTCCTGCGACTTTCCAGTCCTTCCCATTGGAATTGGTGGGTGTATAGCCCTGCCCCATGGATGTGAGGCTTGGTGGCAAAGCTTGCTTTGACCTGTGGCAACTTATGGATGGGACACGAGCAGAGGCTTTAAGTGGGCTTGCTGGTTGGCTGTCACTCATGCTCTTGCTAGGTTACCATGAAAAGAGCTTGTCCCAGGTGGCCACCACCCCTTCAGTCAGGGTCCCTGATGGAGGATGCATGGAACAGACCTGGAGTCCAACCCAGCCAATCCCAGGGGAACCCCCCTCGCCCTTTTACCTACAGCTTGAAGCCGAGCTACTCAGTCAACCCACAGGCTCCTGAGCAAGAAAATAGGTGCCATCTATGCCAGTGAGACTTGGGAGGCTTGTTATACAGAACGACTGTGCAAAGACCCAGCTCCATGCCTGGCTTCTATCTGAGTAAACGCAGGTATATGCTTGTGAGCTTGTGCCCAAATGCTTGTATATCCAATAGAGGCTGACTGCGTCCTCCTCGGACCCAGGCCTGTGCTGCGGGTTTGGGGATGAACCTCCCACCACAGTCCCTGCCTTCAAGGACCTCTTTCTGTCTCACAAGGGAGGTAAGGCATGTTCACAAATATCTACGCAATAAGATAAAGCATGTAAGAGCGAGGCATGGAAGAGGCAGAAGGGGAGGGAGATCAGACTTCCATGGAACAGCAGCTTTGGGCTAGAGGCACTGCTGTGACTGGGCTTGGGGATGAGGTAAGAGAGTGGTGGAGTCCAGGGCGGCTTAGTGGGGGGTGAGGCAGCTGCAGCCGGCGGAGGTGAGCTTAGCCACGCCAGGCTGCGGAGGTACCAGACCCACAGTCCCCATGCCTCAGAGCCCAGACCAAACCTGTGAGGAACACCCAGCATCCTGCTTTTCTCTTTCCTCCTTCCATGGAGAGATGGAAGAGGCCGGGGCTCAGCCTGGCTCCCTGGGCTCCAGGAGGGTGAAGGTCATGGCTGACGGATGGCTCCTCGCTGCACAGGGCCAGGGCCAGCATCTCTCACAGTGAGCCCCGACATCAGGGCAGCTCAGGGGCAGTATTGAGGTAGAGAGTCTACAAAAGAAGCCGGTACTTTCTCTGGGGCCCCCTTTGCCAAGGGGCCCAGGCAAAATGCCCCAAAGGAGGCCAAGCTCCTCCCCGACATCTGCCCTCTAAGGCTCAGGCCAATGGCTATTGCAGGGTTTTATGGGTTCAGTACCACCCCGGGAGGAAATTCCTCCCATCAAGTGGCTACTTCCACACATCTCTTTTCATTCGCAGACAGCTCCCTCTGTGTCCATATAACAGCAGTAATACTAGTGGTGCTAGTACAAATACTGAAAATAATACTAAGGACAGTAACAAGAGCAACCCTGACTCATCAAGTGCCCACATGCTGGTGAGCACTCCACCTGCATCCACCCTCGCATCCCAACAGCCCTCAGAGAATGCCATTAGCATTGTCACTGCATGAGTGGAAAAGAGTGGAGTCCAGAGAGAATGCCCACCAGGCCAGCCAGGGAGTGCTCGGTGCTGGGTGCCCCTGCAGCTGGGCCACTGGCTGCTGGGCACAGAGCAGCTGCACCTGTGGCCAGCCCCAGGTGAAGAGCCAGGTGTGCTCACCTGAGTTGCATGCCCACACCACCAGCCCTCTTGCTGCCTCCCCAAGGCTGGCTGCTCTTTGCTTAAGACTTTGCTTCACGTCATCTTTGCTCATTTGGAGAATCAAGAACTCTAATGGGGGATGGGGGATGACAAGAGAGGAGGGACATAGGGGTCAGGGGTGAGCAGAAGGATCCAGCACCCTGCAGAGCAGCTGCTGCCAGCCTGTGGCACGAAGCAGCTTTGCCCAGAACTGAGCACCTCAGCCTCACCTCAGCTCTGGCCTGATACCTGCTCCCTGATGGAAGATGAGGTTCCAAAAATCCTAAGTGCTGGGTCCAAGGCCTACCTACAAGCCTGGGACAGGCAGGGACAGGCAGAGCCAGACAGGGTCTGGGGAATGTTCATCCTCACACACGGCTCTCAGCAGCCAGGTCCCAAGGCCCTTTCCTAGCCAGGCCCCTGCCACAGGGTTAGGGAGAGGCGCGGCACTCCCTGGTTCTGCTGGTGAAATTGCTGCTGCTTTCTACTCAAGGCTGAGACTCTTCCATTCACCCCCAGAACCCAGGGAGACGACAATGCAACAGGCCTCCCGTGTGCTGCTGTTACCCCCACTTTGCAGAAAGGGAAACCAAGGCTTGGAGGAGCTATCACACTTGTCCAACATTACACAGCTCCTAATGGCCAGAGCCACTTTTGGCCCCTGCCCACTGTTCTCTCTGCAGAAAAAAGTTGAGAAAGAAAGCAGCAAAACTAAGAGGATCAGGATCCAGCCAGGAAGACAGAGTCAAGCCAGGGAGTTCAACAGAAGCGTCCAGACAGGAAATGAACTGCAGGGGTGCTGAAAGAGCAAAAGCCAAACAGGGATAATGAGGCAACCCAGAACAAGCAGCAGCAGGCCACAGTCCCTCCACAGCAGAGGAACAAGGGGACAAGCTGGTGCCACCAGAGCGCAGAGGCCACAACACCGCTGCAAGGCAGGGAGCTGGGACGGACGCCCTGGCTTCCCCTTGGATTCTGCCCTCCAGCCCCCAGCCAGCGCTTCCAGTGGTCAAAATAACAGGAAGCCAGTGGCAAGGGAGCTGGAAAATGTAACTTGCAAGGGCTATTTGCCTTTTGATAGAGAGCCCAGCCGGAGAAGGGCAGGGAGGGCATCTGAGACTCACAGGCAGATGTCTGGGATTCCGGGCAGAGTGGCCTCCCTGCCCTCTTGTGAGAGGGGATACCACAAGCCCCCGGTGGGATAAGTTGGGCCCTAGGAAGATGCTTGCGGCAGGCAGTCCTTCTACCCACGGGCAGGGGATGCTGCAATTGCTCTGGGAAGGAGACTTGTCAATGCCAGTGCCAAGGTCCTTTTCAGTGTGTGGCCCTTTAGAGAAAAGGCACAGGTGCCAAGATGGGCCGGCTGCCCACATGGGGGCTTCTGAGAGTGACTGCTCAGGGCGCAGTCGTGGAAATGGGTGTCCGCAGATCTTCAGGAGTGAACACATTGGTGAGCAATCCTGGGCCCCTGCCTCCTCCGCCGTGGGGCACGGCTGCCCTGCCTTGCTGTACTCCTTCCAGGAGTGGGCCTGGTTTGTGTGTGCA